CGCCCGAACGTGGAGGGAGTGTTACTCAGCATCTAGATTCGCTCCTTTTTCCATGGGCGTGAAAACGAGAACACTTGTGAACGGTTCTTAACAGATGGCGCGCGAAACACGAGAAAACTCCTGAGTGGTACGAAATGTGTTAATCTCTTACTGTGCCTAATTTATAAATTAAACTTTATCCCAGGTATATATAGGAAAAAAACATAGTATATAGGGTTGCAGACTATCTGCAGTTACAGGCATCCACCAGGGGTCTTGGAATATATCCCCTGAGGAAAAGGGGCGAGTACTGTATTCTCATTTCACTAAATTGTTACCTTTCATGGTCATCAGTGATGGAGACATTTATGAAACTTAAGCTCTGCCCATGCTGAAATGTGACTGAGTCCCCATGCAGTAGATAATCGACGCCAGGAACCGCAGAGGAGCTCTGAGAGGTGAACTCAGCTGTCACACGGCCGTGTGCTCCATGCAGCCTCACCACTGGAATCATGATCATCCCGACATCTTCCTCCACTGTAATACGCATTTGCAATTAACTGGTATGTCAGGCAAAGCAAGTAACATTTATAAGATTCAGTCAAATTAAGCATGGCCATTGAACATAATGGTACAGTGCAAGTACTCAATGTGTCCACAATTCATTTATCACTTTAAAAAATGATTGGTGAAAATCTCATGACTTATTTTTTTTTTTTTGGAGAAACGTAGTTTGCCAGAAGTTGAAAGTTATGGCGAACAGTCTAAGTTGGAAATTAAATGACCTATGTAATTATCAGTGTAGGCATTCCTCCTCTCTGTGCCACATACAAATAAATGACAATTTATTAGAAAGTGGATATTCACTGATTTCTAATCCACAAAGAAAGTTAAACATTGCATAACTTAAAATGTATTCATAAAAGCATTTGAAATATGAATATTTCAATAATTCTAAGGTTAAACACAACTTTTTAAAATTGTTTTGTTCCTAACCATTCATCTTTGGCACACATAAGTGAGGTTCAAGATTGCCCAAAGGTAACTCAAAATATAATTTTAAAATAAATGTGTAAATATATAAATCTATAAAGGCATATACAAATACATATAAGGGTATAAATGTACATGTACATGTACATACACACACACACACTAGAAACTTTACATATGAGAATTCAAACTGATAATGTCGAGCTCAGGAAATCTATAATTCAGAAAGTGGTAGTAAATTTATAAATAAGGTTACTGAACCTACCTTCGAAGGCAGTATACCTTGGGTCAAATTCAATGATGCCCTCTGCATTATCATTTGTCATTATTATGATTCTGACCATGGAGATGTTTCCTATTTCAGGAGGCTGATCTACTTGAAGTCCATTTTCTTGGATGGTAAAATCATACCCTCTTGTAAAGTCATAAAAAAAATAAAATAAAATGAGTGCATAATTTCCTACCATCAACTGAATGGTCCTCTTAGCTCCTATAACTTAGTCCTATTAAGCAATTTAATACTTTTTAAAATTCCCGATACTAAAATGCTTCTTTTCTCCCCCCTGAAATGCTGTTTGAAACAGATTTCTGTGCTGCTCGCGATTATCACTGCCTGCATGAAGCCAGAACTAATATAAAGTTATTAAACTGAGGCAATGGGGAGATAACAGAACTATAAGGAAATTGGGAAGAAGTGGTCATAAAATAAAACGCTGGGGCTAGAAATGCACTGCTGCACACATTCTACAGTAACGGACCCAGAAGGCAATGGGCATCAAACTGCAGTGCACACAGACAGAAGCCAGCTGGGCTGGACATTCACGGTGGCAGGCTGAGAGCTACTTCAAAGAAATAATGAGTGTTGTGCCACTGAAGAAATCTCAAGCTAAACCTTCAAGATTCAAGAAAATATTTTAGTACCTATGGAAAACAATTACAAATCAATGCCTCTGTTCTTTAATATAGATGGTAGTTTATCTAATGTCATTCATACAAAGGAAATTTCCTTTTTTAATATATTGATATTATTCCCATTAAAGAAAATTCTGACTTTATATCATTTTAATCCCTGGAGCTAAAAAATGGCACTAAACCAGTGTAGTCCTTCTTTTAATTTCCAAATTCTATTTACCTGGTATTTTTACCCCACCTACATTTCAAAGGGTTGAAAGCTGGTTAATAAGATTATATATAAGGCAAAATTTTAAAAAAGGGAATTAAAATATTAAATGATCAGAGAATGAGATGGCCTCCATATGGTTCATTCTTGATCTTCAATGGAAACGATGCACATTAATGACTGGCCCTCTTTGACTCGATGTTTTTACCCCCTTTAAAACTGATACTGGGAAAGCAAGCATCTACCTCATTCACCCATGGAGAAGACAGGACAGCTTTCATTGACTCCAAGAAGAAATCTCTCACTCCAGCCCATGCCCAGGTAGAGAGACGGGGGAAGCAAATTCTCCAAGGCCAGCTGACCTTCTACCTAGAGAACAGTTACTCTATTTCTTCACCAAATTACTCCTGCCCATGCCCTGTTCAATTTTATGGCTGCCCAGAGTGACTGCATGCCACAGAAATACATACTTTCAACTTCCGGGGTCAGGGGAGTTATATTTTAAAATAATGCATAGTGAACAGTCTTTGTTATAATTTCCTACCACACACAGTCCTAATGTCACAAATCCTTGGAAGAGAAGAGAAAGAAGTATTTCAGTTTTGTATTAACCCCTACACAACCTAGCACTACTTTTCCTTTCTTCCTGCTTTGTTTAACTTTCCTACTTTTCTTTTTTACTTTACCTTTCGAGGAGTTCCACTTTTGTAATTACTAGAGAAAATTCCTCAGGCCCTTCAGGAAGGCTATCATCAAGTATTTCAACCTGCACGCTTTTCGCCATCTCCCGTGCGTCGAAGAGGAGCTCCCCCGGGGCAGGGACAAAATCCACACCTGCCTCCGCGGTCCCACTCACTGTCTCATACCAGAGCCTCACGGGACGGAGCGATCCACCCGATCGGATGACTGTGACGTTCACCTGCAGCCAGAAGAGGTTCTTTTATTTGACTTGGATGATGAGCCTACCAGACAATACTTAATTTTTATGAACTCTAATTCAATTTACTAGGATTATGTTGAAATTATAAATAGATTTATGAAAGTATGGAAATGATAGGTCAAAATAACATCAGGAGGAAATGAATCAGTTGGTGAAAACTTCAGGAAAAACAAGGAAACGCGTTTTAAAGGTCACTACAAGAAAAACACACACACCGGTATTTCCAATTTTAAGCATTTCAGACTCTACCCTTTGTGCTTCCTCTGACACTCGAAGCTGCTCCTGTGAAAAGGCGAATCGGCCGTAGGGGAGGTCACTGGCCACCACTGTGATATTGGCGGTGCTGCTGGCCGCACTCAGTATTCCCCCCTCACTGACACCAGTGAGCCGGAACTCATAGAAACACTTTTCCTCAGGAATGTCATCATTCAAAGCCTACAGAAGGACAAAAAGGGCCATTCGCAGCAAAAACTATCATGTTTAAAGAAAAATATCTATCAGATAAGTAACAACAACAAATCTGGGATATCAACCATCTCCCACCACCCACCCACTAACCACACACATACACACACAAACACACACACACAGCAAAGGGCACAACAGAAGCCAGTAACATTAATACCTGGATCACTATAATTGCTGCAGACTGTCCTTCTCTCATTGTCAGTTTTCCTGATGTTTCAGCAAATTCCCCCATGGAAGCGGGGAAAATCCTCCAATACACTGTGACCTCCCCCCAGGTCGCTGGGCCACGATCCAGGCTACAACAACACACACATATATTCAATACAGTTTTTACTGAAGGAACTTTTCCTGGATATTTGCTCTCTTTCAAAAATAAACAATTGTCATTTATTTCAGAAACATTATGCATTTAAGTCACCCTACCTATCAATTACATACCACAAGAAAGTCTTATACTTCCAAGATAGTAAGAGTCAAAGTACTGAACGCATGTAAATCTACTTGACAAGAATACTAGCAAAAGCTGAACACTAAAAGTGGAAGATCTAAAAAAAAGCATTTTAAAGTTATTTACAGATTTTTCACAAAATGTCAATAGCCTAAACGACAGAAATATTTCACACATGCAATGCTAATGGACAAACTTCCAAAAAGGTAGAGTTTTCATTCAAATTCAGCTACTTCGCTGTTAGCTGCTGTCCCACTCCTCATGAAAAGATTTGTAATAAAGTCGCCTAAAACATCCCATCTATATATATATAAAAGGATAAGTGACCGTCCGACCGGTAGCTATGACACACAATGACCACCAGGGGGCAGACGCTCCAACCGGTAGCTATGAGGCACACTGACCACCAGAGACAGATGCTCAACACAGGATCTGCTGAGCTGCGGTGACTTGGTAGCTGCGATCCTCGGGTGATGCACCCCGGAACCAGAGAGGAAGGAGCCCAATTCCAGGGTGTGTCACCCGAATACCACCCACTCGCAATCCGGGACCCTTGGGGGGATGTCAGAGAGCTGGTTTCGACCTGATTCCCACAGGCCAGGCTGAGGGACCCCACCTGCCAGAGGGACCCCACTCACCCCGCAGACGCCCTTCAAGCCCCGGTGCCACCAGCCGGGGAGGGACTACTCGAGGTTGGCTCCAGGGCATGTCCAGGCCGTCTTGCCCAGTCCTGCTCCACTGGCCACCTTCTAATTAATTTATTTTCAATTTGCATGAATCGTGGCTAGTAGTTATATAACAGGCCCTAATTGTAGAACACTTAGAATGCTTGATTCAGATGATTTTCTAAGGAACAACTTTGCAGCTGAGACACACAAGATTACAGAGATGAAGTAATGCTCACTTTACATAGCTGGTGATGGACGGGGCTAAAAGCACAGATCTGATGTCAACTCACTGCATTCTCCTCAGAATGAGTTGTGCAAATCACCCAAGAAACGTCAGAAACCTCCTCAAGAGCTGACTTCAATATAAATCAGAATATGTCTTCAATTTTCACTAAAAATGTATTCTACTTTCCACAGGACGTCACCAATACATAAAATAACAATGCTTGAAGAATATGCATGTGTTGAGAACAATGTATTTAAGGCATAAAAATGCCAATTATTTACACAGAACTTCAAAGCCCCATCCCAGGCAAAGAAAGATTATAACATCCTTACCTGATGATAGCAGTCCCATTATATTTTGCTGAGGGTTCCCCAATGAGGATGTGCCTGGAGGACGGTGCGATCCCAACCTCTCCTGAAGCTCCCTTATCTCCCCGAATGATTATTGATGCGCTACCTAAATTGAAGATGATAGACAGGGTGTCCAAAAAAAATACACACTTTGAATGATTATAAAGTCAGTGTTTATTAATATGCACTTAATTTTCAAAATTAAGTGAGTTATCAGCTGTTAAAGTGTGTACACATTTTGGGGGACACCCTATACATACAGCTTATGTAGCAAACACAAGTATTCACTGAGTAGATGCCTGCAATGTTGTAAGTGCTTTGCATATACCAATCTTATGAGTTAATCCTCATGATAATCATATAAGTTAGATATTAATATATCCTCATTTTACCAATGAGGCATTGAGGAGACTGAGCAAATAACTTGTCCAAGATCACATTTTAATGAAAGTGGGCAATAATTCCACTATCACTCCCACAGGAAGCAAGTAGTCTTCTACAATTTGCATTAATTCACTTCTACAGTAACCACTTTGCAGCTCACTGCAATTGGCTATCTGGCTATGTTTATTATCTATATGGCAAAAGGAAGAATTCTTAAAGTTACCTTTTATTTTTAATTTTCTGGCTATTATTTGCTTATAAGCATTTATAAAAATGTGCCAGATAGTCCTACTAATCTATAATAATAAAAGCGTAATATGCAAATCAACCGAACAGCTGAACAGCAGAACAACCATTTGGATGACCTTCCCGACGAAGCTGGGGCTGAGAGGGCCAAGCCCCTTGCGTGAATTTCGTGCATTGGGCCTCTAGTATAGAAATAAAAACTATATTAAATAATTTGATATTCATATGGTAATTGGGCAGTAAGTTGAAGAAAATGGTTTCTAGAAGCATACAGGGTTTTGTGAAACAAAGGAATGGATTACTGTACTTTCACTTTCTTTGGCAATGAATTGATGAAACCAAGAGTGGTTTGTCATGTGCAAATATGTCACAGTAAGAAATATACTATGAATTTTTTATATTAACAAATTATTTACCCTGATACACTCTAATACAGCTACCCTACGCACATACAGTGATGCTCTACAATTGTGAGAATTTCCTTGATCATGGAATTCTATTTTTTTGGCCACAAACCCTTGTACAGGATGGAGTTTTTGATGGCAAAAAAAGGATATGTAAGCTTTCATCTTGAAGTTGCTGGGCTATTTTTCATGGTTGTTACTGTTTGTACCACAATGAAACCATTTAGAACCATTAAGCCTTTCTCTCCATATCTAAGAAACAAACTTTAATATAGACCATAAGCAAATAAGAAATATGGCCCTAACTGGTTTGGCTCAATGGATAGAGCATCGGACTGCGGACTCAAGGGTTGCAGGTTCGATTCCGGTCAAGGGCATGTACCTTGGTTGAGGGCATATCCCCAGTAGGGTGTGTACAGGAGGCAGCTGATCGATGTTTCTCTCTCATTGATGTTTCTAACTCTCTATCCTTCTACCTTCCTCTCTGTAAAAAAATCAATAAAATATATATTTTTTAAAAAGAAATATGATGCCTGTTTCTGAAATGTCAAAATATCTATGTAATTACTTCCTGATGAAAATAAGAATAGATGAGCTGGAATGGACATAATAAGTTTTAAAGAAATGTTTTATTATAAAAGTAACATGTGATCAGTGCAAAAATATATAGAAAATACAGGTAATCAAAAACCATTATTAATATTTCAAGTAAATCATTACATATTTATGAAATGCACATGAGAAAAATGGGATTATATTAATCATGTTATAAAGCATGCTTTATAAACGTAACAATTATCCATGTAATTAAGTGTTCTTAATTTGTAATGTTATTAAGGCCTTTTATACCTACTAGAGGCCCGATGGACAAAATTCGTGCAAGAGTAGACCTACCTTCCCCCGACTACTGGCACCGGCTTCCCTCTGGCACCCAGGACCCGGGCTTCCCTCTAGCACCAGGGACCCAGGCTTCCCTCACAGCCCCAGCTTTATCTGGAAGGATGTCTGGTCTAATTAGCGTATTATTCTTTTATTATTATAGATTCTTTTGAATAGTTGCATAGTATTCTGTTATATTTAATCAGTCTCCTACCTGGTTAAACGGATCATTTAGGAAGCTACATATTTTATTTCATAAACATTGCTAAAATAAACACCTTCATTTTTTAAAATCACGTAGTTACGCTGTATGAAATCTTTGACATATGACCTTACTAACACTGGGTATTATAATTTTAGTTTTAAAAATTCATTAGCTGTAATACATGGTAGAAAAATGACATCTAGGGATTACAAAACCTAATGTAACCTACTTTAGTACTATGACTATTTGGTTACATTTTTCTAAGAATCTACTGTTTAATTTTTTTTAATATGAATTTCTCTTACCTTTCACTGGAGATATTTCTGCCTCATCAACTGATATCAGCTGAATGGTGAAACGCCTGTCCTCCAACACAGTGTCTTGAAGTGTGTGCAACACAATGGTCTTCTGGGACTCAGTCTACACCAATGACAGGATTCATAAATTCTCCAGATTGGCTGACGTCATAGTCTGAATGTTCCCGTTTGCAGGATACTGTTTATATCCATAAGCATTCTTAAAATATATCATTTTCCTCCCCTAGAATTATGGGTTGCTTCTAAAGAGAATTACTACATAAAAGTGAGCTCTGACCATAAATGCTATTCAAGTTCTTAATAGAAAAAAAAGGGGGGGGATTAGCACAGCTTCTAAAATTACTAAAAATTTTCAATGATTAAAAGTCCCATCTCTTAAAGAGAGCTATATGGTCACAGCATGATGTAAAAATGCAAAGGTCAAAGGTTTACCACTTATAAAGGTCATCTTTCCACTACCCATTTTGACCCTGCCCTCTACCCATCCCTGCTTCCTTCCCATTCCTTCCACAGGTGTTGATCTCAAGAGTGCTATCATTCCCTACCTCTCGCCTTACACTTAGCAAAGGATTTGGGGGGGGGGG